GTGCTTGCAGTCCGATTCGCTGGTATTCCTTAGATTCCTTCACGGATCTTCACGCTCTGGGTAGACTGCGCGCCCGAGACAGAAGGCAGAAACACACAAACACCAAAATCGCTACAGGGTGGATTTAATGCTCCAAAGGTGCATTTACGAAGTCAAGCTCGGACTGATTCAGCAGCTCATCGATTCGCCACCATGACACTTTGTGAAACATGGGACAGAGCTGCGCTCGCAAAGCTTCGGGAATCTCGAAGAGCTTGTCGCCTGGAGCGGGCCCGGCTCTGCCCAAACCAAGTTTCCCCAAGTCGTTCCCTGGGAAGCCGCGCCCTTCAAGGTTTTAGGGTTTAGGGGCCCGCCCACGGATTGCGGCGCCTTTGGAGTCGCAGCAGTCCTGCTGAGCCTCGAGGAACTGGTTCAGCAGATTCACCAAGCGCTCGGAGGCCGTGCGGTTCATTGAACACACGAAGTGAAACGTCTTGTGCGCCCCACCGGCCTGCGGAAAGGGTCGAAGATCTCTGTGCCGTGGATTGACGAATGATAATTGTGGTTATCGTGTGGTGGAAGTGCCAGCACCAGCAAGAATCACCGCCAGGCCTGCAAAGTTACGTCGAACAGCATGGCACGCATTGCTGCGAAGCCTAACTCCTCCCTCTCTGCCACGTAAGAGCCTGTCGGCGCGAGGGCCCGAGTGGATGAGGGGACACATCACTAGTGTTTCATGATTCTGCTCGGGGTTATGAGTGATGTACACCTTCAAGAACCGTCGTCGCGTCGCTGGTGTTTTTCACCCGCAAAAAGAGTCAACCTTCCAAAATCTCACACAGTGCAGCTGACAAGGTGCGGATGTAGCGTTGTGCATTCCGCAATCCCGCGCTGGTAAGACCTGGTGGCAAGGGTGAGAGCGGGCTTTGCGGCTGACTTGGCAGACATGCAGACATGCATGCAATCAGCTCTCACAGTCGGGAACCGCAAAGGGTGCGTCATGACTCATGACTCCGGTGGCAGAGTCCCAGACCGCGGATCGCAGTGTCCAAAGGTGTCCTTGCTGATTGGCGCAGCTCAAGCTACAAAACTTCGCCGTCTCATCTGATCTGCTGACCAGATCGTGCGAGACCACAAAGCTCTAGAACAGGATATCATGTGCAGCAAACAGAGACTGAGGTTCGGCATGTAGGCCGGAGCTCTACACTTCTAGGCCCCAAACTCTAAGACCTTAAACACTCTAGTTTTATTCTCTAGAGTTCAGGTTTAGGAAGTAATGTTTGGAGTATAGGGTTTAGTTGGCTGCAAGTTTGGCTTCAGGGTAAGTTAGGAAGTTTGTACAGCAGAAATGAACAACAATCATGTGTACTAAGCAGTTTGTTGTGTCACATCATGTTGGGGATTTCGTGGCTGTCAAAATCCAGAAGCATGTGAAAACTCGCCGCCTCATGCTCAATCGGGTATTTGGAGTGCTGCATCAACTACTTCATGGAGACTTCCACATTGTGGGTTGGTTGGGAAGGCACGTACATCGTGTAGTTGGGAGAAATCTGCAGCTGTTTCTGTTAAGTCGAATACTGTGAACATGAAGATTTCTGCATCGAGCTTGTTACATTGTTTCAATTGTTCCAGAAGCCCTGAACCACAACACTCCAGTGCGTGACAGAAGCAAAGCAGCCGTGGTAAGTGGATGCGTCGTGCACGTGTGAGCTAGAAACGCGACGGTCCAGGTCTGGGTCATCTAAGCTTCTTGCTTTCAGTTTGCAGAATTCAGACAAGAGCAGGACTCGAACCCCCAAGCCACGACTGCGCCCTCAAGCGCAATCTATGCCGAGGGTCACATCCACTGCAGGCTTGTAGAGAGCCCCCAGCAGGCGAAACTCCCCAGGAAAGTCTACGAGCACATGCTTGCCCGGTTCGGACTTCAGGTAGTTGAGAACCTGATAAAAGAAAAAAAGCCTTCACACGGGCAATGCCTCTGGCGCGCATGAGTGCTGCAGCATAGCAGCAGCATCATCACAGCGGCTTGCGCATTTCTTTTACTACGGTAAAGAGGAGGCCGAGGTGCCACAGCAGCAGCAGCAGAAGCACCAGCACCAGCACCAGCACCACCACCACCGCCGCCACCACCACCACCACCACCACCAGCACCAGCAGCAGAGTCGTTGTGGTACTCGGGTACAGTAGAAGCCGCCGAACCGCAGTAGCGGCGTTAGTGTTTGAAGGTGGCCGGAGGAGAGCGAGGCAAAGGCTTAAGGAAGAGTAGCGGCAGCAACAGCTCTTCCAGCTTGTGCTAGTGGTGTCGCTGTAGCTGGAGCATCGGAGCACCATTCTGATTGTTCACACCCGCATAAACGTGCGTGCTGCTTCCAGAGCAGGTATATCTGACTGTGGATGGTTGTAGCGATCATCCACTATACCCGTTGCCACAGAGCATCAACAGTAAACGAAGATGCCTCAACCGTGGCGCTGGGTGATGGTAAGGTTAGTGCTTCTGTTGGAGGTGCTGTCTGATCGTGATGCTAACACTGAAGCGGCTTGTCAACGCCTGAAACCTTCAAGTCAGTGCTAATGACGGTAAATCTGCTGTGGAGAAGCCAAACTTCCAAACTAAGCATGCCCGAGTCAACTTCCAGGCGACGGTATTCTGCGCGCAAAGCACTTCCAGGCCACCGTCAGCACCAGCACGGATCGGCCTGAGTATCGAAAGAAGACAGATTCCCGCTCTGGTTGAAACAACCTGCTCAGAAAGGAAGTCTGTCAGAGGCAATCTTTTAACCCCTGTCAATGCATGATTGACGACTTCGTCAAAGTCAGAACGACGTTTTAGACTACAAAAAAAAGGCCGAAGAAAACTGCGAAGCAATCAATCCAAGTCACACTAACGTGGCACCTAGTCGGAGAGTGGTGCCGTCACCACTGTTCTTCTTCGGGGATCGGCCATCCTTCGTTGCAACCAGGAAGACTTGGAATTAACCCTAGCCATTAGGTATTCAGTGAGTAAGCCCTCATAGCCGCTTCCGGACAGATCACGAAATCAGAAGCAAGAGCAGCGTCCAGCCTCCCAACTGTAACAAGACTCACATCACTTCAGCCGACATCGTGTCGTTTTACATAGTGGTCCTCTTGGTAGCGAAGCCATGAACAACTTAAACTCTCTGTCCCTAAAACCCAATCCCCAAACCACAGACACCATAAATCCTACTTGGGTGCCGGGTCCCCCGACGAGGTTAATTCTCCCAAAAACGGTCCAAACTGGTTGAAAGCCATTACAGTACCTCAAATTACCTCCCACTTTGAGGCTCGTGCCTCCTGAAACCAGGCCCTTCTGGGGGAGCGATCCTGTGCAAGTGTCGGGCAGCGTTTCTGGAGAAGCTTGATGAGACATGATGAGGTCTCAGCGCTTGCTTTGGTGCTGAATCACCAGAGAAATTTTGCGTTCAAGGCAGCCTGCTCTCAGAAAGCTGTGTAAATTAAAGAGGAGTACCAAACGTTCAGCCGTCAAGGAGCGCCGCCTCCGTCCCGGCGTAGAAGGTTTCTCGAGCGCTCACGCTGCATACCCGCGCATATGATATTTGGTTCGAGATCCATTGCACTCAGACTCATGGTCGAACTGTATGTATCCGGGCGTACCCCACTGTTGACGGCTGGGGTAATCAAAATCTTGCGCCTTGAAGACCTTCTAATCCCTCAAGTCCCATGCCTGAACTGGTCCTAAACCCTAAACCCTAACAATTCCCACACCCTAAACCCTAAACCTTAGAAGGACCAACACGCCTGACCGTACAACCCCTCCTAAACCCTGACTCCCCCTGCACTGCAAGAAAGAACCTCTAAGGAGTGGGGCACTAAGTGGTAAAACCCGCTACAGTAACCCCTGCCCGAAACGCTAAAAGCCCTAAACCTTAAACCCTATCCCCCGAAAACTTTTGAAGGAGTGGCTCAGCCCAAAGAGAAACAAGCAGCCGCCGCCTACGCACTGGACCCTCAACGGAGCGGCCAACCCCAAAAAGGAGCAGCCGCTCCAGCCCCAACCCCCAAAATGAGGAACACTCCAAACCCAAACAGCCGGAGCTGGGAGTGCACCGCAGCCGTGAACCCGACGAGTGCCGCAGTCGTAATCTCTAAACCAACCCGCGTCAGGTCTCAGAGTGGGCCACTGCTAAATGCAACATCCTAGGTCCTAGACCCTAAAAATCCCTAAACTGTACACCTACAAGAGATGGGTAATTATCCCTGAAAGGGAGTGAGCACCAGCCGTGAACCCCCAAAGCACGTGCACACCGGAGTCTACCTAGTGTGCGCAAGGGAGGGGTCTGACGCTGTCAAGCACAACGAGTGAAGGAAGCAAACGAACGAAACAGAGTTCGCGTTCGTGACCGAAAACGTGCGGAAAGGAATCAACAGGCAAATCATGATTCCAAGCGCTTCTAGACGCCATTCTAGTTCTGTTCCAAACTTAACATGACGAAGAGCGTAGCAGGTTTTCGTTGCACACCCATCTTCATCTTCAGCATCCGTCAGCCCTCGTTTACAGCGAGCCTCCAGGTCCATCGCATCGCTGGGCACCCGGGACCGTCCGTAGACGGTCGACTCGCGGCTGCCCTCGCGCAAGGTTGCTAGTCATGATGACAAGAATAAACCTAAACAACACTTGTTACTAACAATCCAAAAATTGGTAACAGAAGAAGAAGCAGAACCAGAACAACAACCACCACCACCAAAGCGGAAGCAGCACCAGTAGTTATTAGCGATCACATCAAGAACACGCAAAGTCAACACTGGTTGGTAGGTTTATACGTTCTGACAACAAGAGCAACAACAATCATGCTCAAACCAAGTGAGCGAATCTTTGCCAAAGCTGAAGCTCTTACTAAGAGATTTGTAGCAAACCGTACGGCCGCGAGCCCAAAAGCCAGCTACCGGCGCCTTCCGGGAGACCGGAGGTGGAGTACGTGGAGAGTCCACCATGGCCCCGGAGCTCACTACATCAGATCTTTCAATCCTGGATTAAAAAAGGTTTAGGTTTCGCATGTAGCTAGCCCCGTGTGAACAGTGGGTGAGGGGACACACGCGGTGCGTGAACAGAGGTAGCCACTTCTGCTCTGAGGCAGGAGTGGGGTCTCAACATATCTTTGGCATCGAAAGCTTGAGCTGTGCTCTGCGGCATCGAATCTGCGTTCTGCGGATATGATAGAACTGTTTCCGAAGAAAGAAGCATGTCGCCGGAAAGAAGTCACGCGTGCGCGAGCCTCGCGCATTTTCAAATCCATGTCCTTAGCTACACAGGAGCCGAATCTGGTCTTGAGGAAATAGCTTACGATAAAACCCGGTCAGCTTGCAAGACCCTGAAAAGCATGATCTTCTAGCCTTGCAATGCAAAGAGGAAACAGGGGCCGTGGCCGTGGCGATGTGTAGGACCGGGAGGTTCCCCACATCCTTTGCAACCTCGAGAATGGGAAGGAGGTCCTGGAACAGGAGTTCTCATGGCCATGAGATCGCCTCACTCGTGCCTGTGAATCCTTCTGCTACCACGTGCAGCTTTCCCAGTGCCGGTCCATGTGGTACACAGTCACCTAAGGCAGCGCAACACGCGACAGGCCGTGAAGCTTGACGCCTACTCCTCCTCTCGTACCGGAATTTTATTCAGCAAGTTATGCTTGAATGCTTCGGCTCACCTTCAACATCGAAGTGCAACTTGTTCGATTCCTCCTCCTCATCGTCATCATCATCAGCTGAAAAAGTCCAAGGTGCCCTCTCGGTGATGAGATCAAACCCGACTGATCTTGGCAAGCTGAGGCCCGGGCCACGATGTCCGGCTTCTGCTCCAAGAGAACACTTCGAAATGCATCCTCGCATAGTCTCGTTATTAGCAGTTCTGGGAGACTCCTCCAAACTCGGCTCTCTCTGGGCTCCTTGGTTGGAGTGTTGCAAGTCGGGGAAGGGCATGGCGAATTCCACTGCCCAAAGAAGAGGGTGCCTAACCACGGCGCAACTTTCGGCTTGCACGTTCCGCGCTAGGGGGGACCTCTTTTGCCAAGCTAAGATCGAGGCCCATCGATTCAACCATGTTCTGGATGCTGTACATCTTCCTTAATCGCAAGCACAAGTTGAAGGACACTTGGGTACAGATCTCATCCGCACTTACCTATGCAGCAGCATGTGGGACAGAGCTTGACATGGCCAGAAAAGAAGCCATATGGTGAGTTTCCGGCCATCGCAGAACCATCCGATTGTACCAGACGTCCATGAGGCGTGCTAGGCGAGACAATACCAGGACATGCCAGAACAAGCAAAGCAGCACAGCCCAAACTGCCAAAGCGCAAACATATGTAAACCCCAAACCTCGGAACATACGAAGTATCTGCCCACTCCGGCACGTAAAATCAAAAGCAGGAGGCTTAGATTTGTACACAGCTTCGAAGACCTCGGATGCTGGACTTCAGCCTCTGGCTGCTGAGTCTCCTCTGCAACGAGTCCTGCAAGCACCAGCAATGTGCATAGTGCCACCCAGCAAGCACGAATCCAGGATTGAGCCCGACTCCTCGAAGCGCGGATCATGCGTCGTGTCGACAGCCTCCACGACGAAGCCGGCCCCCTGGCAGTCCCAATGATTCGCAGACCCGAGTCGAAGAGTTCGAAGCGGTGGGGGGCAGGCGCCTGCAGGAAGTCTTCGACTGCCTGCTGCGCGGACTTGTGGCCATCGCCGAAGCTGCACGTGAAAATGACCTCGGAGGGCCAGAATGCTTACGTGAATACACACTTTTCAAGATGCGTCAGTGGCAAAGGACTGCAAGACTTGAAGCACAGATTCGAAAGAATTAACAGACGAAGAGTATAACGGCACCAATGCCCGCACCTGAAGCCAGACGAGCTTGAAGCAAGCTCGTGTGCTCTGTATTCGCTTGAGTAATGTATTATGTTTCTCCTCAGGCATTGCACATGCAAAACAGGGAAAGGCTGATGATTGCATTCAACATGTGTGTGTGTGCGCGTGTTAGTGTGCATGTAAACATGCAAATGCTCGTCAAAACAACAGACAGAGACAGAGATGGAGAGTGACAGACTCAGACGGACAGACTGAACATGATAGGGCAAACTCTGTTTGAGGACAACACGTCCTTCACTACACACCCGGAGGCAGTCTTATATCCATGTGTATGTGTGTGTTTGTATATGTAGACGTACACACCTGCATACACATATACATTACTACATACATGCACATACGTATACGTGCATACACATATACACATATACATATATATACACGTATATTATATGCACACACACACACATGCATACATGCAAAACAAATACACCCCTATACACATGTATACACATGTATACACATATATACACATATGTACATACACACATACATACATACATACATACATACATACGTACATACTTACATACATACATACATACATACATACATGAATACATACATGCATGTATGTATACATATATATATATATACATAAACAAATATGCGTACACGCACATCAATACATATATATGTATATGAGCAGATATACATATGTATGCGTACATACATACATACATACATACATATATACATGCCGATCTCTCCGTACATGTAGACCGGCATGATGTGTATATGCGCACAGTCACATGCATACACATTCGAGCGCATACATTACAAGCTCAGTATCTCAGCGTGCATGCCAGCAGGTACGCACCAAATGCTAAGATCCAAGATTCACTCGCACCCAGCTGTTATCTGGTACAAGTAAGAGCCAAGAGGACTCTCGCTCTGTCTGCCAAGCTGCAGCTCTGCGTGTCGCCTGCAGACCTTGTGCCAGCACGGCCCGGCCTGGCTCGAGGTGCCGCAGGCAGTAGCTCTTGAGCGTCACTAGCATCGAGTCTCGATGTGAGTCTCCTGTAGTGTAGTCCATGGAAAACCCCGTGAGCTCGATCTTGGATGTCAACTAGGCACTCGACAACAGACCCGAAACAATCGTCAACGTTCACATTTGTTAATTGGCTGTCTTGTCGACGACACTACTTCCCGGATCCTGCTCCGTGCTTTTGCTTGGCCAGCCCGCGGAAGAAGTGAACAAAGCTGTCGGCCTGGCCCGCCAAGCGAGGAGGGGGCTTACATCACGCATCCAAGATCTGGCCTGAAACTTTACAGAAAATCCGTTTAGTTGGACGCTTGGGCATTCAGGCTGCACACCGCAGGTCCAATACAGGGCGCTTGATTCCTCGGAGCCTGGAAGATTAGACTTCTGCACTCGGATTTGCCTCCTCCTCCGGCACGGCAGCCAGCTCGTCCTTGCTAGCTGCTGGCATGTCTGACTCGCCTGACTCTCGAAAGTGCAAGCACTCGACCGGCCGTCGTTTCAGTCGAGGGGCCGCGCTCATTGCCCGCAGCCGCTCTATCCTGTGCAGGGCGTGGGTCATTCTGAGTCCGCTGAGTCGCAAAGCCGACCTCATGGACTCAGCATCAGGTCGACGATGACGGGGTCGTAAAAAAAAACAACTCCGATGAATCCAATACAGCCAGATCTTCCAAGGAAAAGCACTGAGAACACTTGGAAGCCAAACCCAGTTCCGTCATCTTCCAGTCCATGAGAGCGCACTTGTCAAGCAATGAATTCCGGGAGCCTGCGGATGTCGTCAGCCAGCTGCCAAATCACGCCCTCGAATGCACGATCTGACAGTGATCAATAGGGGTTTCCGACCATTCTCCTCCATCATGCGACAACTGGCACTTTAACCCAGAATTTCGAAAATGGATGCTGCTGACCTCCCTGCCCCATAACATCCCATGACCCCCAACCGAGAGTCGCGCCCGCGAGAGGCTGGCGTGATTTGTGTCACTTCGGTCCTGCCCGCCATCGTTTCACTGAGCCAGCATCTTGTATAACGGAATTCTGCCAAACACAGAATCGGGTCGCCTGGAAGTGCAGCTCCAGCAGGTGGTTGTATGCTTGCAGGTCGCCTGGCAGCTCTGCGTTGCAAAAGCGGCTCTTCGTCACAGCTATGCATCCCCGCCCTTTTCAATCCGCCAGTTCCCCGTTCTCAACTAGCAAGACGAAGCTAGTTCCCACGAAAGGCACCAGATAGCCCCAACTGCCAGGTCCACGGTCACTGCCATCATGGGCCACGCGCAGCTCACCCGCGAGGCTTTGCAGAAGTGCTGCTGCGGAGCCTGGTCAAATTGCCAAGAACACTCCAGCTTGCGCTGAAGGCAAGAAAAGTCTGTTGCGATGCTCATGATCCGTCGGAAATGCGGGGCAGTAACCTAAGACTGCCCACAGAAAAAATTGAAAAGGCAAGCAACCCAGAAGCAAGTTGGCGACTCGGCACACTTGAAAACCCTCACCATGCATGCCTGGATCAGCAGCTATTGTCTCGTTGACCTGACCACCTGAGGCGAAGTCGACTTCGGCTCACTGTCGCAAAACCCTGGAGCCACTCCTGCACTCTGGACTGAGCACTTGACCGCGCTCGCCGCCCCCAACAAGGGCGGAGGCAAAGAGCTGGACCTCCTGCATGTCCTGCCATCTGCTCAGGGACTCTGCGATTGCTACACCACCCTGGACTACTCGTGGATAATTATTACCTGCCCGGCCCTGCAAGTCTCAAGTTCGCTCTGAGATTCCCTTTTTCACCCAGTGTCCTTCGGCTCGGGTTCCAGGAAGCCGAAGGGCTTCGAATCCTCCTGAAAGCACATCGGCTGTTGGGCTGCCTTGAGATGCCTTGAGTTTCGGAGGTTAGGAGCTTGTTTCGAGAGGGAGAGTTTAGGCTCCCGGTTCGTGTGTGGCGAAATTGACGGCTGGCATGTGTACAGAACCTGCGTCGGGACACTTTGCACTCCTGGATCCCAAAACAAGCCGTAAGACACCAAGCACTCAGTCAACTCAAGAAATCGATTCTTAGACGCTTGTCCTGTCGCAGCCAAACCCTAGCCCCTGCAGCCCCTGCAGCCCCTGCCTGCATGGCACCAGGTGGGGCCATTTCCGAGCTCGAACTTGGTTGAAGAAAACATAAACGATGCAAAGAGCCTAGGGCTTTCCACTCCGGTCTCCCAGAGCCGAGCCGCTCCAGATGCCATTGCTCCTGCTCGCAGACGCCAGCAGCAAAGTCAGTTCTTTGTTACGGTGTCGCAAAGGCCTCATCACTGCGCAGAGAACACACCCGCAGTGCCGCAGCCAGCCAGGCACTGGCGAGGCCGAGCCGCCTCCTGAAGCTTGAAATCCCAGAAAGCCACAACTTCGAGGCTTTCGGTTTGTGTTTGCCCCCACCCCCTGGAGCCTCGTAATAATTGCCATGTGGGCAATAAATCGAAACTACCATGTCTGAAAAGAGAGGCCGCTGCACCTTTCTATGCCTGCAAGACTTCCAGCTCGAATCCGAGGGCTTCACATTGCGCAGCATGAAAGTGGAGGAAACCTGGGCACGGACGATGCCCTAGAAGACATCCTCATGGAACTGTGACAAACAGGGCACGGCGGGAACCCCGGAACCAAAGCCTTTCTTTCCACGTCTTCCCACACACGTCGCTCTCGGCTGTGAGATACATTTTAAGCTCCTGGCCGTTTGACAGGCTACGGCATTTTCTTGGAGAGGACCCCCCTTTTCCCAAGCTTGGGCCCGGAGGTCTGCGCAAGATGCCAGGCTTGGGCCGAGCAATCAAGCGCTGCAAAGCGCTGCAGCCGGCCGGTCACGGTGCAGTAGCCTGGAGGCGTAAGGCCATTTTGCGCACTGCGTTCTCTTTAAACTCCTTGAACTCGAAACTATGCTGGGAGCAGCAGGCAGATGCTCAACGCCGGATTCAGTACGCCAACGCGAATGCGAAACCTGCACCCCTTCGGAAGTTTGGCTTCATCCTGCAGTTCCCGACCTAGAATGAAGACGACGGACTTTGCCCGTTGCCCTCTCGCGAAACACGCAATGCGTGAGACAACATTATCAAGCATGGTACCTGCCGGCAGACCCTAAGTCCTGATATCCAAGGGTCCAAGACATTCTAGACTTTCCTGCAAAACATCAAAACATCCGTACCTCACTCAACAAACACACTCACGCCATTTGCGCAAGCAGTAGGCCACCAGTTTCCACGGCTGGTCAAACCGAACGTGCTCATCTCTGACTCGTCGGAGTCCGATATGTCTAGTTACCCCATCGAAAGGATTATTCCGTGAAGGTCTTACGAAGAATGAAAACTGCAGCCACGACTCAACCCCAGCAACCTTCGCTGCAACTTGAACAACTGCGAATACGACTGCTCAACTGAAGTGCAGTCCCCCTTCGATATGCTCGACTTCCCATGCTATGGCTCTATCCTCGCGTCGACCACAGCCGTAGAAACCAGAAGCACATACCAGCCGTCACAAAGACATGTCTGAGCACGCACCGCAGCCCAAGAAGCTGCACATCTGAAAGATGCTCCGCCCTGCTTCTCGCCTTCTCCGTTCTGCAAGCTTCTACTCACTTGCAAAGACTACACATCAATGACGGAGCACACCTATCAAACGACTAAAGCAGCTCACGTGCCCTTGATTTCGACACTAGCGAAGCAAAAAACACCGGTCAGTAGCGGATCTTCCGCCCTGGCTGCAAATACAGGCGATGGAAAAGGGCTTTGGGAACCGAGCTGCCACACCTGTACTCCTTTGCATCAGTCTCTTGCCATTCCCCTGATCCCTCATCCTGGTCTGCAACCACCCCTCTCCCCTTGGCCTGGCTTTCGGGTTCCGAGACCTTTGACAGCCGTCAAACAAGCTCTAAGAGTCATGATGACAAGTCACATACAGGGTAGTGCCATTGCAACCTGCTACATCCCGCGCATGCCCCATCCTGAGCATTCAAAGTCTGCATCCGGTTACCCTCACTCCTCCAGCCCAATCCGCGAAGTTTCGCCAAGTCCCGGCACTTCGAAGAGCTCCGCCAAGTGGCACATGTAGCCCAAAGAGTCGATCGGCGGAGCAGCCCGGGCAACCTGGCGCACGCTTCACCCGCTCAAGACCTTCCGCCACATACTTTGGATGAGAGCAGCTGCCGAGTGATTTTACAACAAATGTTTTTTTGCAGAAGAGGGCCGATTGCTTGCACACCAGCTCCCAAACCTCTTGAACGTGATGCTGGGGCCTGTCACCTACTTGATAGATCACCTTGGTCATCTTCTGAGACTTGAAGAATCGAAAAAAAATTCCAGTAGGCGCACCTGTGTCGCCACATCACAGGCCTTGGCATCAAGAAAACATGGCAGCGACAAGGAAAGCAACAGGGTGGAAGCCGATGAAGATATCGCAATAGACAAAGGCGAAGAAACGCGCAGAAACTGCGCAAGTCGCTGTTCATCCGATGCCAAAAACAAGACAATAGGACGATTCTTACACGGAAGTCTTCTGATTCAAGAAAACGGCTGAGCATCCGTGGCCTCGGCGATGTGATGGAAACAGCTCATAGGAAGCTTCCCATCCATCTTAATGATCCCTTTCTTCACAGGGGCTCTCCCAGGGCTCCGACCAGGTTCGCCGAGCGGTGGATGGCCGCCTCGGTCACCTGAAGTTGAGGCACGAGCTGAGCAGGACCTGTCGACTCCGACGACTCCGGAATATTATCATACAAATATATGTATATATGTATTATATTATATATATATATATGTACATATACATGCTTCGGAAGTGGACTCGACACTTGTTGTAAAAGCGGAAAGCAGACTGCCCTTCACGATAGCGCAGATGAACATGGCGACAAAAAATCAAACTCTACGGGCCAGACCTGCAAAGAACACCAGCAAACTACAGCACCGACCAGGATTCGCCTTAACATCTAAAGACTTCTCTTGGGCCTTGTGGACCACAGTGGACGTAGCATCATTCACCTGCATCTGTTGCTGATTGCCGACACACTGGCAGGCACACACTGGAAAGGAAGAAGTGCGAGCGCTTGTTTCGGCGGGCATTGCCAGCCTGCTCGACGGCATCGGCAGCCGCTCGAACCATGTCACCTGGCACCCACAGCTGAAGACAAGCGTAGAAGGCACGGGAAACGGCTGGGCGATGGGTGACATGCAAGCTGGGTTCAGCAGCACCAGCCTGCGTTGCAGGCGATCTCCGAGGCCGACTCACTGATCGCGTACCTTCTTCACCAGAGGCTGTAAGGCTTGTCTTGGGGGGCAAGACATCTCTAACGGCTCGGACGTCGAGGGCCAAGTGCCAGATGTCCGAAAACGCTGAAATAGCTTCGAGCTGCAGCCACTGCCGGAAACTGTTGTAAGAGAAACTCCACCAGAGTACACGTGCACACGCACGTTTTCCTTACATATCTTGCTGAACAGAGGAGCTGCTAGCCCGACAGATGGCTTGGCCAACGTCGACATGCATGGCAACTACAAAATACAACACGACCACTTCAAACCGGATTGCGAACCTGCCGCAATTCATTGTCGACAAGCTTATTCTATACAGTGGTCGCAGAAGCCTCGTTAGAGCTATGCAACGCTACCGGAGTTGCTGAGTGTCTCGTAGGCAGCGGTCTGCCGCCTCACGCAGCGGCACGACAGCTGGCTGCTGTCCTGATGCGTGCCACTGGAAAAAAGCCAAATGACTTGCGCCAAGAGTATGACAATGACTATGAAGCACACTAGCAGCTGCGTCGGCGAAAAGTTCTGCACGACGCACACAAGCGAGGCGAGCACTAAGCTTCCACAGATGTAGTTGTAGAAGAAAGCCAATGGACAAAACAGGAAAGCCGCACAGAGCTGCAGTGACCCATCGCCATGCGACATTGCGAACTTGACCATACGAAGTAGGACTGGGTATGTTAGTGGGAATGCCAGAGCAATGTTGATGATCCATCCAGCACATGAGGTGAGCATGTAGGCATATGTCGACTGGTAGCCAGCCAATGCTGCAGACTGATCACAAGGCCCGTTGTCGCAGCCGAAAACATTCACCGAGGAGTAGAAAATCATCGGCAAGAAGGCAATCAGACAGGTCCGCCACGAGACGTAAAGCTCGTCGCCGATCTGCGAAATCACGAACTCTCTCAAGGTGCCGCGAACGTACGCGTTGAAACGCCCCAGCGGATCACCGAATGCATCGGGCGAAGATCCTTGCCCACCATGATATCGCATAGGAACGCAGACCTGACATCGAAGGTGGACAACATCTGAGAGTTCTGACAGTCTCGCAGGATGCAAACAGTGGAAGACCGATTCCTAACATCTACATCCTAGACGGCATGTGCATGACCCAAGCTGCCTCCCCGTTGTCAATATCAGCACCCGTTTGGTGAGGTCTCCGTTCCATAACATCATCCTTGAATAAGTCCTCCACTTGCTGCTCGATTGCTTCAGCATCAGACGGCAGAGTACATTTTGCTGCTCTGACATCGAAGTTAGCCATTTGTTGCAGCATCAACTGGTGGTTTCGCAACTTCATGCGAAAAGAGAAGGAGCTTGGGAAAGAAGAAGGTGCGTAAGAGATGCTTGAAATCATCCAGATGGTGAACACCGCCACGAATTTCAGCGTTGCAGGATTCTCTCCCAGCAGTGACTCTGCTGCTGCCATGATAGGGTTGGTCCAGGCCACACTCCAATTGGGAAAACTATGTTCCAGGAACTCGTAGAGGGTGACACTCAATAAATCCAGGAGGATTGAGTTCAGCAGCCACGGAGCCAACCAGAGCGGCAAGACATCGATCTTCTCTGTACCTACATGTCGCGCGAAAGTAGCCAGCTCTAGGGAGCACCATTTTCCTGGGTCCCTGTTAGGGAAGAAAACATTTAAGGATCCATGGCGGGGCCTCCCTGGCAAAATTTCCCCTAAACCCACGCCACGACAAGTACAAAGGATTGCGAACAATAGACCCAGCTTCTCTCGAAGTAAGTATCATCCCACAGAATAAGCATGCGGGAAGAATGCATCACAAAGACAGGGAGAGCTGCTATCTGCTCTGCCTTACGATCCATGTCTGTTTGATGGATGCAGAGCTTGTCCACCCACAGTGCAGGAGGCTGTCGCCCCTCAAAGAGCTGCTGTCCGAAAATGAAAACAACGAAAAAGACTGTCATGGGAAAGTAGACAAGGCAGGGCAGTGCGAGGTAGCTTCCACCGAGGCTGGTGATGCCACCCCACCCAAGCAGTGCAGCTGCCACAACAAACCAGGCACTACAAGCACATCGGATTGCCATGTCCAGATTGAAGAACCTCGGTTGATCCAGTGCGTACTGGCCAGGTGCACTGCACACGCAGATGTCCGCTGAAAGGAAAGACTAAACAAGAACCTAAGGTTCAAGGGGTTCTTGGGAACAAGGAAGCCCACACAGAAGAGATCTTGCCAATGTTACGCTTGGCCATCGTTTTCATTCTCCCAAGACGGAGCCGAGTTGCAAGCAAAGCGCCAGGAACTTTGACCGGCGCCCCGCACTCCAAGAGTGGCCGACAAAGATGTCAACATGATCCGTCTCCGCAGCGGCATTGAACAAGGTTACCCCAGCAAGTTGCACCTGCTCCATGGTCGGAAAGCGCGTGTTGCTGCTCCCGCCAGCTGTCAAAAAGGCATCGAGAGCGTCTCGAAAGATTATGCCATAACCTGTTCGGGACATCGATCAAGCATGCACGTCGGACAGAAGGAAAACTCGGCACGACTGCATGAAGGCACATCATCGCCAAGAAACCTGCAAGCACTTGCCGAGGAGTAGCACTACGAAAGTGGCCTGACTTGCAGATGTTCTCGTAGGAATTTGCTCTCCGAAGCCCGACCATGCTTTGACTCCGGCATCAAGTTGAATCCACGGTAAAAGCTTTGCCAGACATCTTGTTCGGAGTCACAGGGTACTTATATAACAGGCATGCCTAACGGCTAACGATTGGTTTATTAAACCTAAGAGGTCTGAAAGTGCTTGCAGACCCAAGCCTTTTTGATTTGACCTGAACATGCGGCTGCAGAGGCCTCACTCTGTGAACCAGTCGCATGCAGCCTTCGACTTGAAGAGAAAACTTGAAAGCTACATGCGCAAGATGCACGAGAAGACCGGTGAAACACCCACACACACCCACCTCTGGTCCAGCTCCATCAGATGTGTGGCCTCAGCAAACCAACCCCATTGTTTCGGTTCGGTTCTGAACCTTGAGCACGGTCTTGCCAGGGACTCCACTCCATCCGTGACCGTCTGCTTGATGGCCAGCTCGTGCTCCAGCTCCACGGCCTGCGACCGACCAAAAGCCGTGGAGTTCCCTTGCGAAACAAGAGTTCGCTCACAGTGGCCTTCGCTGCCGCGATGACTGCTGCTGCTCGCACTCCTGAGACAGCATGCCGCAGCCTTGGCGGGCAGAAGTCTCCAGAGTCGAATGGTGTTGCATAGGTTTAGGTTCGTCAGGCAATAGTGTGTGTGTGTGTGTGTGGATACGTATGTGTGTATTGTGCTGTACACGTAGGTCTGTATGTCCATATTTATGTATGCATTTATGTATGAGTGTCTGAGGAATGTAGGAATGCACGTATGTGTGTACGATAGGTATGTGTATGTGTGCATGTAGTTTGAGTGTATATCCTGCGGCCGCAGGAGGCATTTCTCAATGCTGACTCAGAGACCTTCCGTGAATGAATGAATGAATGAACGAATGTGTGCATGTATTCAAGCTACATATTGCATGCATGTATTCATGTATGTAGGTATGGACCTGATCTTCCGCTTGTTCTTCACTCAATGAGTCGCCCTCTGTCTCCACCACTTTCTGACCGCAAGTCAAGAACGTTTGCACGCTTACAATCCTGTGCGGCGCACTGCAAAGGTCACGCGACACTGCTGAGGTGCAGACCCTGTTTCCTCAGCAGGGATCCGGAGGGAAGCCGGGTTTGTCGGGTCGGACCACTGCAGACGAGCTGGGTCGACGAGTGAGGTGAGGAGTGTCTTCTGGCTTCAAGCTCCGGTGGCGACATGCCGTCTCGCAGGAGCGAAACAGCAGCAGAGAGACGTCAGCACAGCAGAATCACAGAAAAAACATGGCTTTGCAGGCCAAGGAACCACCTGGGCACCGGCGCCGGCCCTGCCGCGGCAAGCTCTTTGCCCGATGGCTACCGATTGGAAATCCCGCAACGAAGCGGACATGCGAGGGGAATGCTTTTACAGAGCTCAGAGTGGCTTCGTGCGGTGAAGGTTGCGCAGACAGGGTACACGAAACGCTGACATGGATTGTTGCAAAGCGCGGTTCTCCTAGGCTTGGGCCCCGACAAATTTGTGATCCAGTCAGGTATAGGGCCGACTCCCAGGCGTCTGCAGGGCACTGCAACACGCATTACAGCGCCGGTAGTGCTGCTGGTCCTCTACATTTGCAAAAATACGGCTGTGAGCACAAGTGTGAACATAGATGATCAAGTCAGCTTTGAATAGTCGTTGCTTGTCAGTGCTGCCAGTAGAACAACTACGGTAACCATGTTCGGTCTTGTTCCAGAATTCGCTTCAATACCAACACTCGAATGAAAACTTGCTGCTGAAAACAGAGCAGTGACGAGACTGTGTGATAACCGTCATGGAGGATCATCTTGTTGAGGAACATGATAGTGCGGGAACAACCACCCAGCACAAACACACGCACACACACACACACAAACACACACAAATCCTCTCACACAGAAACACACTCTGACACACACTCACGCACGCGCGCAAACAGACACAGCTATCAGACCCTTGCACACACGAAGGAACCAACAGACCCTCATCTTGACGACACTCCCGTATGAAAGACTGTTCACCACAGCACTGCAAGGGAAGGCTGACGGTCTGGAAGAACATGCAGTGCAGCCCTGCTTGCAATGTTCGTAAGCCTATGACCTGCAGAGCGTATCACTGAAGTGGCAACAGTTGCGATGAAGGATGTCGTAGTCCTCACCTGGCAAGCTGGGTTTGCTCTTGGCATCTTCCGTCCTGAAGCCGATAAGACAAACTGCTGCTGGACCGACCACCAACCGCCCATCCGACCCGTAAACGTCCAAAGTCATTAAAAAAACCTTTGCAGTTAAGTACCTGTAGCGCCGAAATCGCGACTCGCTACGCGGCAGTTCGCGGATGCGCCAAGACTCACAAGCGCATTTCTGAAACTTGGACCCTGGCCTTGCCAATCCTGTGCCAAAGCACTTAGAAGCAGGATGACGTCCTGCACAAACGATAGTGTTGCGACACTCCCTTACTCGTCGACCCAGGTGCAAGGCAGCCAGCTTGTTTTCACACGGCATCTATCGGTACACGGCGTGCGTCTGATCGCGCACGACTACAGCTCTCGCTCCACAGCGAGCTAGCGTGCCCACCGTCGAACCCCATCGACAAACACGCAGCCAGCTGCAGCTCAGCTGCCAGCACTCACAGCCACCCCCTATACCTGGCTCTTGAGTGCCGCCACCGGCGTGGCTTTCACAATCGTCTTCGCCTCGCCGAAGAGTTGCAGTAACAAGATACTCGAAGCCACTAGCCACTAGCTGAGAGGGCTCGTGCCTTCTGCGCCTTGACCTGCACCTCCTGCAGCAAAGATCGCACTCACGATGAAGCTACAACATAGCTCTCTGCGTGCCTTGCCGAACATCATACGGGTGCCACCCTTCGTCGCAGGCTTCACACCTTGCGGCTCAATTCAACCTACATGCTCCTACTCTCGCTCCAGCGGTCAGATGCATGTTTGCTGATCAGCCCGGGCACGAGTCTTGATCATGCAAAGCCCTGGGAGAACGAACCTCAGATGCATGCAGCTCACGTCGAAAGAGTGCTGCAGATCGTTGAGCATGATTTTGACTCTGGGAACATCTATCATCAAAGCCTAACCGCCTAAACTGGCTTCCAAAAGCTGTCAAGGCTTGCCGGTGGTGGTGACCTCGCTGGCACCGATCTCGGAAAGGTTCTGCAGGACCGACAGGACTTCCTTCTTCTTGAGCTCCGACTTGGTAGCGAGCTGGTCGGCAAGCTGGCTCTTGGTCATGGCTTTGGCAGCCTTCATGGCCTTGGACTTCATCGCGGACTTCATTGCCGGGGCCATGCTTTCCAAGAGGGTCCGAGCAAGTCTGTCAGAGGACTTGTGAAAGCTTGAGCAGCGAGAGGCTCAGGGAACGTGGCGACAACTCAAAAGTGTTGCGCAGCAAGCAGAGCTGAAGAACTGGCAAAGCCGCCGTTAAAGATTCCAGCCACCCTACCAGTAGTTCTCTCACCCGGACGCGACACGTCCTTGCAGGTCACCCCTCATGATTCTAGTGCAAGGCAGCCAGCTTGTTTTCACACGGCATCTATCGGTACACGGCGTGCGTCTGATCGCGCACGACTACAGCTCTCGCTCCACAGCGAGCTAGCGTGCCCACCGTCGAACCCCATCGACAAACACGCAGCCAGCTGCAGCTCTGCTGCCAGCACTCACAGCCACCCCCTATACCTGGCTCTTGAGTGCCGCCACCGGCGTGGCTTTCACAATCGTCTTCGCCTCGCCGAAGAGTTGCAGTAACAAGATACTCGAAGCCACTAGCCGCTAGCTGAGAGGGCTCGTGCCTTCTGCGCCTTGACCTGCACCTCCTGTAGCCAAGATTGCACTCACGATGAAGCTACATCATAGCTCTCTGCGTGCCTTGCCGAACATCATACGGGTGCCACCCTTCGTCGCAGGCTTCACACCTTGCAGCTCAATTCAACCTACATGCTCCTACTCTCGCTCCAGCGGTCAGATGCATGTTGCTGATCAGCCCGGGCACGAGTCTTGATCATGCAAAGCCCTGGGAGAACGAACCTCAGATGCATGCAGCTCACGTCAAAAGAGTGCTGCAGATCGTTGAGCATGATTTTGACTCTGGGAACATCTATCATCAAAGCCTAACCGCCTAAACTGGCTTCCAAAAGCTGTCAAAGGGCTTGCCGGTGGTGGTGACCTCGCTGGCACCGATCTCGGAAAGGTTCTGCAGGACCGACAGGACTTCCTTCTTCTTGAGCTCCGACTTGGTAGCGAGCTGGTCGGCAAGCTGGCTCTTGGTCATGGCTTTGGCAGCCTTCATGGCCTTGGACTTCATTGCCGGGGCCATGTTTTCCAAGAGGGTCCGAGCAAGTCTGTCAGAGGACTTGTGAAAGCTTGAGCAGCGAGAGGCTCAGGGAACGTGCCGACAACTCAAAAGTGTTGCGCAGCAAGCAGAGCTGAAGAACTGGCAAAGCCGCCGTTAAAGATTCCAGCCACCCTACCAGTAGTTCTCTCACCCGGACGCGACACGTCCTTGCAGGTCACCCCTCATGATTCTAGTGCAAGGCAGCCAGCTTGTTTTCACACGGCATCTATCGGTACACGGCGTGCGTCTGATCGCGCACGACTACAGCTCTCGCTCCACAGCGAGCTAGCGTGCCCACCGTCGAACCCCATCGACAAACACGCAGCCAGCTGCAGCTCTGCTGCCAGCACTCACAGCCACCCCCTATACCTGGCTCTTGAGTGCCGCCACCGGCGTGGCTTTCACAATCGTCTTCGCCTCGCCGAAGAGTTGCAGTAACAAGATACTCGAAGCCACTAGCCGCTAGCTGAGAGGGCTCGCGCCTTCTGCGCCTTGACCTGCACCTCCTGTAGCCAAGATTGCACTCACGATGAAGCTACGTCATAGCTCTCTGCGTGCCTTGCCGAACATCATACGGGTTCCACCCTTCGTCGCAGGCTTCACACCTTGCAGCTCAATTAACCTACATGCTCCTACTCTCGCTCCAGCGGTCAGATGCATGTTGCTGATCAGCCCGGGCACGAGTCTTGATCATGCAAAGCCCTGGGAGAACGAACCTCAGATGCATGCAGCTCACGTCGAAAGAGTGCTGCAGATCGTTGAGCATGATTTTGACTCTGGGAACATCTATCATCAAAGCCTAACCGCCTAAACTGGCTTCCAAAAGCTGTCAAAGGGCTTGCCGGTGGTGGTGACCTCGCTGGCACCGATCTCGGAAAGGTTCTGCAGGACCGACAGGACTTCCTTCTTCTTGAGCTCCGACTTGGTAGCGAGCTGGTCGGCAAGCTGGCTCTTGGTCATGGCTTTGGCAGCCTTCATGGCCTTGGACTTCATCGCGGACTTCATTGCCGGGGCCATGTTTTCCAAGAGGGTCCGAGCAAGTCTGTCAGAGGACTTGTGAAAGCTTGAGCAGCGAGAGGCTCAGGGAACGTGGCGACAACTCAAAAGTGTTGCGCAGCAAGCAGAGCTGAAGAACTGGCAAAGCCGCCGTTAAAGATTCCAGCCACCCTACCAGTAGTTCTCTCACCGGGATGCGACACGTCCTTGCAGGTCACCCCTAATGATTCTAGTGCAAGGCAGCCAGCTTGTTTTCACACGGCATCTATCGGTACACGGCGTGCGTCTGATCGCGCACGACTACAGCTCTCGCTCCACAGCGAGCTAGCGTGCCCACCGTCGAACCCCATCGACAAACACGCAGCCAGCTGCAGCTCTGCTGCCAGCACTCACAGCCACCCCCTATACCTGGCTCTTGAGTGCCGCCACCGGCGTGGCTTTCACAATCGTCTTCGCCTCGCCGAAGAGTTGCAGTAACAAGATACTCGAAGCCACTAGCCGCTAGCTGAGAGGGCTCGTGCCTTCTGCGCCTTGACCTGCACCTCCTGTAGCCAAGATTGCACTCACGATGAAGCTACGTCATAGCTCTCTGCGTGCCTTGCCGAACATCATACGGGTGCCACCCTTCGTCGCAGGCTTCACACCTTGCAGCTCAATTCAACCTACATGCTCCTACTCTCGCTCCAGCGGTCAGATGCATGTTGCTGATCAGCCCGGGCACGAGTCTTGATCATGCAAAGCCCTGGGAGAACGAACCTCAGATGCATGCAGCTCACGTCGAAAGAGTGCTGCAGATCGTTGAGCATGATTTTGACTCTGGGAACATCTATCATCAAAGCCTAACCGCCTAAACTGGCTTCCAAAAGCTGTCAAGGCTTGCCGGTGGTGGTGACCTCGCTGGCACCGATCTCGGAAAGGTTCTGCAGGACCGACAGGACTTCCTTCTTCTTGAGCTCCGACTTGGTAGCGAGCTGGTCGGCAAGCTGGCTCTTGGTCATGGCTTTGGCAGCCTTCATGGCCTTGGACTTCATCGCGGACTTCATTGCCGGGGCCATGTTTTCCAAGAGGGTCCGAGCAAGTCTGTCAGAGGACTTGTGAAAGCTTGAGCAGCGAGAGGCTCAGGGAACGTGGCGACAACTCAAAAGTGTTGCGCAGCAAGCAGAGCTGAAGAACTGGCAAAGCCGCCGTTAAAGATTCCAGCCACCCTACCAGTAGTTCTCTCACCCGGACGCGACACGTCCTTGCAGGTCACCCCTAATGATTCTAGTGCAAGGCAGCCAGCTTGTTTTCACACGGCATCTATCGGTACACGGCGTGCGTCTGATCGCGCACGACTACAGCTCTCGCTCCACAGCGAGCTAGCGTGCCCACCGTCGAACCCCATCGACAAACACGCAGCCAGCTGCAGCTCTGCTGCCAGCACTCACAGCCACCCCCTATACCTGGCTCTTGAGTGCCGCCACCGGCGTGGCTTTCACAATCGTCTTCGCCTCGCCGAAGAGTTGCAGTAACAAGATACTCGAAGCCACTAGCCACTAGCTGAGAGGACTCCCGCCTTCTGCGCCTTGACCTGCACCTCCTGCAGCAAAGATCGCACTCACGATGAAGCTACAACATAGCTCTCTGCATGCCTTGCCGAACATCATACGGGTGCCACCCTTCGTCGCAGGCTTCACACCTTGCGGCTCAATTCAACCTACATGCTCCTACTCTCGCTCCAGCGGTCAGATGCATGTTTGCTGATCAGCCCGGGCACGAGTCTTGATCATGCAAAGCCCTGGGAGAACGAACCTCAGATGCATGCAGCTCACGTCGAAAGAGTGCTGCAGATCGTTGAGCATGATTTTGACTCTGGGAACATCTATCATCAAAGCCTAACCGCCTAAACTGGCTTCCAAAAGCTGTCAAGGCTTGCCGGTGGTGGTGACCTCGCTGGCACCGATCTCGGAAAGGTTCTGCAGGACCGACAGGACTTCCTTCTTCTTGAGCTCCGACTTGGTAGCGAGCTGGTCGGCAAGCTGGCTCTTGGTCATGGCTTTGGCAGCCTTCATGGCCTTGGACTTCATCGCGGACTTCATTGCCGGGGCCATGCTTTCCAAGAGGGTCCGAGCAAGTCTGTCAGAGGACTTGTGAAAGCTTGAGCAGCGAGAGGCTCAGGGAACGTGGCGACAACTCAAAAAGTGTTGCGCAGCAAGCAGAGCTGAAGAACTGGCAAAGCCGCCGTTAAAGATTCCAGCCACCCTACCAGTAGTTCTCTCACCCGGACGCGACACGTCCTTGCAGGTCACCCCTAATGATTCTAGTGCAAGGCAGCCAGCTTGTTTTCACACGGCATCTATCGGTACACGGCGTGCGTCTGATCGCGCACGACTACAGCTCTCGCTCCACAGCGAGCTAGCGTGCCCACCGTCGAACCCCATCGACAAACACGCAGCCAGCTGCAGCTCTGCTGCCAGCACTCACAGCCACCCCCTATACCTGGCTCTTGAGTGCCGCCACCGGCGTGGCTTTCACAATCGTCTTCGCCTCGCCGAAGAGTTGCAGTAACAAGATACTCGAAGCGACTAGCCACTAGCTGAGAGGACTCCCGCCTTCTGCGCCTTGACCTGCACCTCCTGCAGCAAAGATCGCACTCACGATGAAGCTACAACATAGCTCTCTGCATGCCTTGCCGAACATCATACGGGTGCCACCCTTCGTCGCAGGCTTCACACCTTGCGGCTCAATTCAACCTACATGCTCCTACTCTCGCTCCAGCGGTCAGATGCATGTTTGCTGATCAGCCCGGGCACGAGTCTTGATCATGCAAAGCCCTGGGAGAACGAACCTCAGATGCATGCAGCTCACGTCGAAAGAGTGCTGCAGATCGTTGAGCATGATTTTGACTCTGGGAACATCTATCATCAAAGCCTAACCGCCTAAACTGGCTTCCAAAAGCTGTCAAGGCTTGCCGGTGGTGGTGACCTCGCTGGCACCGATCTCGGAAAGGTTCTGCAGGACCGACAGGACTTCCTTCTTCTTGAGCTCCGACTTGGTAGCGAGCTGGTCGGCAAGCTGGCTCTTGGTCATGGCTTTGGCAGCCTTCATGGCCTTGGACTTCATCGCGGACTTCATTGCCGGGGCCATGTTTCCAAGAGGGTCCGAGCAAGTCTGTCAGAGGACTTGTGAAAGCTTGAGCAGCGAGAGGCTCAGGGAACGTGGCGACAACTCAAAAGTGCTGCGCAAGCAGAGCTGAAGAGCTGGCAAAGGTGCCAGTAAAGACTCCAGCCACCCTTGTTCTCTCACCCCTCTCTCTCACCTAGCAGGGACGCCACACTTGCAGTCCTCCTCTCGCAGACAGGTGACACCCATGGCCACCGCCTGCCCGTTCAGGATGTGCGGAATCGAGGGCACTTGCAATCGCGACAGTTAGGGATTCTCGGGGATCGTTTTCCTTCCACGTTTTCAGTCTTCGGCGCACCTCACATCAGAGAACAGAGGGACTTACAGAAGAATGAACCTTCGGCCTCCCGGTAGGTGTGTTCGCCGCACTCCCCCGGGTCGCCTGGCCAAAGCACGGAATGTATGCATGCTGAAGCGGGGAGTGTACGCATCAGGTTCAGAACGACTTCTCGCCCTAAAGCCTCACCTGGGGCTCCAAGCCCATTACCCAAACTGCCAGACTCCTGGGTCGTCTGGAGGTTGGGTTTGGCAAGCACAACAGGCACCAGAGTTCGTGCATGTGAGACTGATACAAGCCAGCAGCGCAGCTGAAAATCCCGCTCCCTCCGTCGTCAGTGTACCCAAAGCTCCACTCTGCACCATATACCTTTCCAGCAGGCTCCAAACGCAAACACATCCCAAAAATCAAAGCCGGATTCGAGCCTCGCATTTTCTAATCTCGATTGCAGCATCAACAACTGCACACAGCGCCTGAGACGTTTGACCCCGTCACCACAATGCTCCTTCTTGCTAGCCCCTTGTTCGAATATTCACCTCTTCCTTCTCCTCCTCCTGCTACTACTCTCCTACTCCTACTTCTACTGCTGCTACTGCTATGCTGCTGCTGCTCTAGCTCCTGCCACTGCCACTGGTGCTGGCACTGCTACTGCTATTGCCACTCCCTGATTGTAGTTGTTGGTTAGCAAACGCAACATCGAAAAAGTGCATGTTATAGTTAAACCCTATAAGCTAAATCGAAAAGTTAAGCTAAACTCTCAAAGCCTCAAAGTAGACCCTAACCAAGGAGACGATGGTGAGCAAGCCACGGCAGCGAAAAGAAGCTTTGGCCAGCAAAGCCCAAACCTCAAATCCGAACTCTAAACCTCCATGTCCCCAACGCCCATACCCCAGTTTTCAAAGCTGCACTGTGTCCAAGCAAGCGGGCCTCCACACCCGCGTGGAAGGCACCGGTGCCAATGGCTCGGCAAAGACGATTTAGGCCGGAGATGACCTGCAGGGAACTGGGCGCAAGTGTCAAGCACCTTCGCACCACGAAAAATCCTGGCTTACAGTACTGCCCCGAAACACGAAGCAGTGAATCGAGAGCGCCAACAACGAGTTGGGCCACGTGCCTCAGTGCCTGTGACGTCGTAAATCCGCAGCCTGTGGCTTCAGAAACAGCTTGCTGCCCCTATTCCCATAATGCCATAATAGTCAGCGAGTGTGCTCAGCATGCGGCGTGACAGCGCACGGCTTCTTCCTGCAGGGTAGCTGCTACCGTGACCCAAATTCGACTTCTCGGCCCCTTCACGGCAGCGAGTCCTTGAGGCTGGAGGGTACCCATCGGGTACTGCGGCCGGAACTCTGCGCAGCAACGAGGAGCTGACCTCTCCGATGCTAGATTCGCACATCCAACTTCAGTTAACACTGATGGAGGGAGAGAGGGGTCCTCGGCATGTCGGATGCGAAACGCTTCGAATCTGTTGGGCACAGAAGCGATACGTTCCAACTAGCATTATGAAAGGATTTATATTCTTCTTACTACTACTAGTATCACTATTCCTACTCGAAGGAGTATTATTTTTTGTTGTCTCTAGTTTTATTCTCCTTGGTAATATTATTGTCAGCTTTGCTACTATCGTTGTTATTAGAAACATTCTTACTGCCAAAATTCCTGCTGCAATTCAGTAGACGCAGCAGCGGTGGTGGTGATAGCAGCGGCAATCGCAGTAGCAAAAGGACTAGTAGTTGCTGGTGCGGATGATGCTGCGGGCGCTGCCGGTGCAACTGGTGCCGCTGATGCTGCTACTGCTGGCGATGCTGGCATGAACTGCTTTGTTTGTGACATTTCTGCTTGCCCTGCAAGCACCACTTGCGATCGAGATGAACCTCCCTTGACAGCTGGCTAATTGCTTGAAGAGATGCAGAGACTCGCTAAGAGCAGCGGACTTGAACATGGGTTTGGGGACTTTGTCAACCTTCTGGAAAACGTTGTTATTCAGTCGCACCTTTTTCACGTTAACTTCCCTGTGGCAAGCAAAACATAGGAAGATGAATATCGGTACAGCCTTCTGCTTGTGGAAGGCTTTGTTTCCTCATGCTCAAATCTGGGTACTTACTACCGATTGCCGTGGGAAAGACTTCGTGCACCATTGCGGCTTTCCAACAGCATTTCAACAAGCTGCACCCTCGTCCGCCCTCCAAGATCCGTACGAGACAAAACCACACAAAAAGCCGTCCTGTCCCGAGAGGCCTCGAAGGGCGCACAAGCCACGGAGCGGCGTGCGCGAGTGTCGCGGAGCCGCCGCGGTGCTAGGCCGTCCGTATTTGCGCGAGGCCGCCTCAGCTGGCTTCGGAGTTTGGAGTTTGCGTCTCCCGAGCTTTGAGGGAGTTGAGGCTGGGCTGCAGGAAGCAGGTGCCGACCACTCCCATATGCGGCCGAAGGCTTACAGCCATATAGCCACTTATCGATAATCGATCGCATTTGGGAGTTAAGAAGGACGTCATGCTGTGCAGAAGAGCTCCAGACCTGATGTGCCCCACCCCCAAAGCCCTTCAGTACACCCCCACGTAACATAACGATTTACAATAGTCCACACATTCCTTCACAAACCCTATCAGCCCTATCATATCATAGAGCAGTATACCCGAGACCGCATGAGGCCTTGTCATCAGCGAAACGAAGCTGTAGGCTTTCACTCCGAAACTGAAAGCCCGTTCCATGATCCGGCAAACCTCGACGGCTCGTGGCAGTGGACAGCGCCCTCATCCTGGAGGCTCACAGGGCAAGAAGCGGTTTCCATCAAGAAACGATGTTGCGAGAGGTTGTTGCTACAGGGATTCCTCTGCCGCAGCCTGATTTAGAACAGGCCTCACTGCGGGATTGGGCTTGCGATTCAAGCAATGCAGATAGTGCTGCATGCATGTTAAGGCAGCCAGGCAGGCCAGATGATGTGTCATTCGTTTCTTGAGCCTCTCTAGCCGGGATGCAGTGCTCTCCGAACGCGGTGCGAAGGTGCTGGCATGGATTCCCATGGCAAAAGATGGAAAATGTGCGACCTTGCATGGGTTCCGGCACCGCTTTGGAGGGCATTGACTTTGACCTAAAGAGTCGCGAACCAAATTTGAACCAACCTGCAATCCGACTTCCTCTTGTCAAACAAGCTGGAAATCCGACATCTCGCTTTCAAAACTCCGAAGATGTAGTTCAAAATGCAGCACTCCCGCTTTACAACTCCTTGTGCTAGAAGGAGCTGCTCCTTCTTCCCTAGGAACCCAAAATCCCTTACGTACTTATGCGAGCCTCTGCCCTCGCCTCGGGTTCCAGCTCCCCTGGCCACGGGTACGGGTCTGTTGTTTCCTTGAAGGGTTTATGGGTGTGAGGCTTTCAAGGTTTCAGGCAGCATCGAGGGGTGTGAGGGTTTCGGTTTAGCAGGGTAGTTTCTGGCCTACTTCCTAAACCCCGTGAAACCCTGAAAGCTCTGAACCTTCAAATCCTCAAACTCCTCAATCCTGCAACCCATATATCCACTCAATCTTCAAAACAACGCAACCTCAACCCAGAAACCTTCAAACCCCCCAAACCTCTGAACCCTAAAATTCATGAAACCAAACCTCAAACCGTCGGACCTCTAACCCCCACAGAACCATGAAACCCTCGAACCCTCAC